TGTAGAGGTGGTCGCAAAAGGCAGCGACGCGCGGCGGAGGAGCCCTGGCAAGCCGACATTCCGATCATTGAGCGGCGGCGTCTGTGTTCGGGGAAGCGTGCGTCATCTCGCGCTCTACCGACAAAAACTACAAATTTTCCCTTTCATTGCATCAAGTGGTCGCAGCTCGCACTCGCAGGCAGCGGTCCACGCTCATCATAATAAACGCATAACGCGTCGGCTCGCACGCGCTCACTGTAAACAATGCGTTTCGGGAATTCCCTCTCTTTTTATGCGGGATCACATTCCTGAGGGATTCCTTTTGTTTGCTTTCAACTGTTAAATTTTTTACCCGCCACCTTGAAATTATTTGTCTCTATTGACACTTGTGTAACGGGACGCATAGATTACGAGCTTTTGTGAACCCCATTCACCTGATCTATCGTCTTTCACACGCTTTTGTGTAACTTAGCTGTTTTTGAATTGTATTTCTTGGGATCGGATACTTGAGTAAACATTTTGATTTCTTATTGATACTTTAATACGATCGTCAAACATTGTTCCTTTTAAACCTTATTGTTTCAAATTACTTATACCTTTGTGTCATCAGGACGATGGCCACTATTGTTGCTCTCTTAAACAATTGCATGATCAGCTTAAAGAGTCTGAATGAGGACTTTAAATTCTACCTCAGGTACAATATTATGTTGTGACGTGAGTGAAATTGATTTTGTAAAACAGCTGCTTAACTCACTATACAGTATCAGTAGGTGCTGCAAAGTGCAAACTTAGTATTGGTGGTCACCATATTTACACGAGAATTGAATTAAAGTGACTAAATAACACATTGCTTGCAATAAATCTTATCTCAAAATTGACATGAAAGCTACCATTTGTTACGGTTAGGCGTTTGGCAAAAAATTGTATTACACAACTACTGTTAAATCAATCGTGTACGGGTGCGCAGTAGCCAGAGGCGTGAAATAAAAAGCTCGACAGAAGCACGGCGAGGCGAGTCGACGAAGCTGCGCGAGCGCCGGCCCACGAAGGCACGAAACAGGATGTGGGACTGGTTGGCGCACGCACACACGCGCACCGCATGGGCACACAGCGCACACACTCGCGCGCGGCCTCGCCGCTCGACTCGCCGCTCTCCGCTCACGGAAATGTGCGTGCCAGCCAGGGCTGCGAGCACGACCATACCGACTACATATTTTATTTTTATCTTTCCTTCCACTCATACTGCCGTTGAAATTTGCAAGTTTATCGGCTCGTAAAAACACAGTATTTTCTGGGGATTGTAGTCTTTTGAGAGTATGGGAACAGGAATAAAAAGAAATCGTGGGTGTGTGTAAAATGGTAATTGTACTGTTCGACATTTGTTTGGTGTTGATATATAGCATGGTGTCGGGTGGTGTCTGACAACCCTGGTGGGACAGGCGAGACTACCTTCGAGCCGGGCCCGCAATACCGGCCATGCGCATGCCACTATAGCCTCCGACTTTTTTGACAATTTGTTGTCCTCCAGCAGGTTGTTAGTAAAAAATTGCAGTGCTTTCAAAGTATAGAAATATTTTAATTATAAGCCGCACTTTAAACATCTTAAAAAATAGGGTGACAGTGATACTATCACACTGCATGCACCAAATAGCGGTGAGCACAATACCAGCACTGAAACAATACTCTAACATGTGAACAAAGTGAAGTGTTTACGATCTCTAATCTCGATTGCACCGAACAGGTCCACAACAAACCGCCCTTCTGAGATGAATGAAATTACCACCGCCGCCGGTCACGTGGTCTATTGTACTGAAAAGGAACGTTAATGGTTTAATCGGTCATTGAATCGGCTCGATACTGCATAGCGTAGCCTCTTCCCACCGTTTCATGAATGGACAAAAAAAAATGAAATAAAAATTCTACTACGATGTTATGACCGTACCGTCGTAAACAATCGTTATTTATACAGGCATCGATGTATTCCACACAAACACGAAACTTGCTAAACACGTGGGCGGGGAAATGTCACATCGACTCTCCATTGAAACTAAACAACGCTAAAATCACTGAAATAATAAATAAACACCGAAAGTTGTTTCTATTTTGTACAATTGTTAAAATTATTTAATTAATTTATATTATGTTTACTGTCTCTTATACGTAATTGGTGACGTTGTTACGAAAACCCAGGAAAAAAGGAAGATAGCTTTATAATACTAAGTTCATCGGAATATAACATCCAAATTCCGTGGCTTATAACATCTGATGCATAACAGCGGCATCGTATTTTCTCATGTGGATAGAGCGACCCCATAACATGGCACAGCACACCCCATGCTATCTACCCTGCGTTATAGTCGGCTATTATAATACGCCAGCAGTGAGGCGGGCTGGCGATGGTGGCGCGCGGCGAGCGTAGGTAGCTGTAGCGATAGATACAAGCGGCCGCTACGCGATGTCATTACAAGCGCGCCTGTGTGCTGCACGTGCACACAGGCGCGCGCCCCCGCCGCCCGCTCGCCGCGCCCCGCCCGCGCCCCTCTGCGCGCCGCTCGACATGACTGTGGCGCTGTGAGGCAATGCCGTTGCTGTGCCGCCGTCTATTTGGTCTCCACAATGCCATAGAAAGTCTCCGTTCGACTCGCCTCGACGACCGAACTTTTCCTACCTCCTCGAGCGAGAGGCGTTATAACAGCGTCGCCGCTCCGACGACTCGTCGACTATGACTTTTCAACGCATACTGTAGAATTCTTTATGGTTGTTATTTTGAATAAGCACTAACTCCTCGCCTTGCGCTATAGCTAGCAGTACGGTTATAAAATGCCGCATATCCGAGACTAGCGATAAAATAAACGTCTGACGTTTCCAAGTTTCGAACGGAGAGAACGAGCGACGCGCTGCGCATCAGAAAAAGAACTTTACGACAAGATTAGAAAGAGCGAGCGGAGCGGCAACAGCGCGCAGCCGCGTTCCAGAGGCACAGAGTGGCAACGCCGAGCGCCAACGTCATTTACTAAATTTATTTTCATGAGCGCCAGCGCTGGCGACGACACTGCTACATACATATAGCGCTCGCGGGCGCCGCGTGATACAACCTCACGCTAGATATTATCTAGCTATTTCTGCATATTGAAAACTTGTCGCGCTCGTTTATAATTTTCCTATAATGGACAGTAGGTGTACAGTTGTACAGGCGTACAGTAATCGCTCTGTACAGTGAGCCGGCACGTTTTCCGTGGAGCGATAAAAGGGTGACGCAAAGTGATTATTTGCAGCGTTGCGATGAGTGGTCGCTGAGTCAACTCGACGGCAGGCAGCGACCGTCGCAAGTCGCAACACCGACAGCGCTCGCAACCTAACCTACTAACCGATCATGCGTTGTTAGCTTTTATTGTGAATTTGTTCAGCATTCTGCACTATAGCTATTCACTTTATAGTAAAAATAATATTGCTGTTATCTTTAATCGTAAACTTGAGTAAAATGATTTACAAAAGTAAAAATATTTTTTAATGGCGCTTAAACAAGTACATAATTATAATTTTAATAACATAGATTGATGATTGATGTTTGTTCGTAAAATATGTTTAGCGGAGTAATTTTCATTTCATTTAACATTTTCTGTGTAATAAATAGGCGGTATAAAGGCTAGAGTATCTAGGCAGGTTCTGCGAAACGCGTGTGCTTCTTAATTGTAGCGGCAGGTGTGGAGGCATCTGCCGCCTGCTGGACTCGCACACTTAATATTTTTATTTTTTCTACAACGTGTGTATCGCTGCACACGGTGTCCACTGACTCGATGCATTGAACAATTTCGCGATGGCCACTAACGAAAGTTGCCATGTATGCCTCAACGGGAAGGTAATTCGTTGAATATACGATGTTGCGGTAAAAGTCAACGCGCTTGCCTGCACGTCCGTCAGTTAGTACCGCGCCACTGCAGCTGCTAACAATGATAGCTTGTTATTCAAGTTCAATATAAAGATAAGGCCACAATAAAATGTACACTAACTTCAGGTAATACTTCTGCCTGGCAGTCTTATAGTCCTGAGGACTTGAAATGCTTAAATGTATTTCTGTTCTTCTGTTTGGACAAAGAATGCGCTCCGACAGAAGGGTCCGATGATCCCGGCCGGCGCGGCGGGTGCGTGGAGCCCTTACCTGAGCCGCACTAGGGGCTGCTCCCCGGCACATTGTCGGTAAAAAAACTGAGTAGGGTCGGAGCACAAAAGAGCTCAGACCACCCTACCAGGTACCTTTGTACGCCGTCTGTTACTCTAGCGAGCGTACTGTGTTGGCTACATTCCATGCGTTTTATATTTGACAACAATCAGTTTATAGATATGTTACTTCACTATATTTTGTTAAAAAATATCAAGGTATTTAATAGAATTGATGTGATCAATTAAAGGTATAATTTTAATCTTAAATCATTTTGAGCCTATTCCAGTCCTAGCCAGCCTAGTCCAATAATTACAATATTTTACGACACTCTTATATCGTACACTAATAAACCTGTATGTGCCTGTGGGTACAGATTTATAATAAATCAGTATAATAACGCTTTCCATTAGTTTTCCGTGGAGCGCATAAAGCGTCTCAGCTTACGGTACTTGTGGTAGTTAGAGAGCGGCGCCGCGCAGCTCCGCCTGCCCGAGCAGCGCCCACGCACCATTGTGCTGCCTCACATCCGCGTCTACACGCCTACCTCGCCACGTACACCCATACACCGGGTATGCAGTACTTTCAGACATCACTTCGACTTCTATTCTTCAGTTTTAGTAGTCATCAACATAAGAACTATAGACTGATGATGTCGTTTAACAAACTTTAAAAAAATAGAGAAATATAAAACGTCACTGTCATTGCGAACGTTTCGAACACTGGTGATGGTACCTATTTATAAATAGCATTAATTATTGGATTTAATTAGTATTCTAACATAATAAGTGATTAGCAATAGTTGTACACGTAAGTTCAGTTGGAATGTATGTGAGTAACCGAATTGTTTCTGTATTTGCAGGGCTCGGGCGGCGGGTGCGGCGCCAAGCGGCGCGCCGGCTCCCCGTGTGAGGGCGGCGGCAAAGTCGCGCGCTGGGAAGACTCGATCGCGCGGCTAGAGGCCGTGGCCGCCGGCGCGGGCGGCGGAGACTGCTGGCGCTCCGAGGAGGAGGAGCGGCGCGCGTGCCGCCGGCGCTGGTGTGGCGGCTGGTGCGGTGCGCACGATACCATTCGGGCCGAGAACGGCAAGTCCTACCTGGAGCTGGGCGGTGCTGCTGCGCGCGCTTGTTGCGACGGCCGCGCGGCCGGTCGCTGTGCCTCTCGTCGCTGCTACCGCGAGAGGCGGTTCAAAATGATGAATCTGTGTGCGCTGAAACTGGCGCGCTTACGCCAGACGGCGGATCCGTCGCTGAGGCGCTCTGTGCTCGTCTGCAACACGTTACGTGGCATCGAGCGCGAGATGGAGCGCGAGAGTGCCGAGGAGGCGCCCTTCGAGCCGGCGTGCGTAGCTGGTGGAGTAGCACGCTGCGAGCTGTTGAGCTCTCGCGACCCGGCGGCTGGTCGTGCCACCCCCTTCCCTGCGCCGCCACCGCCGGACCGAGACTCCGGCTACGGCGACGAAGAGCAACGGACCATCGACTGGGGCTCCGTACTGAGCCTGTCATCGAGGTCAGCGCTCGACCCCCCCGAAGACGCGTGGCCCGACGACTGGGGCTGGAGCGAGGACAGCTTCGTGCGGCTGCTAGTGCCGACGAGTTAGTGCACGGCGCGCGGGCAGGACTCGCCCGCGCCCCACTGAGCGCCTGTGATAGCGCGGGCCGCGCCGCGCGGTGAGGCGGGCCGCGCGGCCGGCTCGCGCGTGCGGCCGCGCGGAACTCTAGTCGGACGCGCCGCGCCGCCCGGCGACTCGCGCGCCGACGCGACGCGACGCATACACGCAGTCAGTAGTTAGTATTATGTAATTGCAAAAGGGAAGGTGCTAGCTTCGGACGTGACGCAGGACTTAATGCGAGCCGAGTTATTTTTGATAGTTTTATTTTCTTTAAGTGAATTCCAAACCGAATGAAGAAGTGACTTAGCTAATGACGTTATTATCGTTTAAATTAAAACTCAGGTGTTTGAAATTTTGTTGAAATTATTATGTAATTACTTAGGTAAATAACTATATTTATTTCGTTGACCAGAAGAAGAAGAAGAAAAGTGACAATTTGAAATTATTTCTGTCTTGATATTTTCATTGCAAGATGTATCGGAACAACGAGTTTGACTTTATTTTCATGGGTTATGTTGACTCGCAGACATGTTCGCGGTGTGGTGTGCTCCGAGTGGTAGCTGGCTCGAGACTGTCCTGACTTCAGATTAGTTACTAGCGAGTCGTAGAGCTGGGAGCGCACTGTACCGCGGAGATGTCGACGGTGGTCGTATAAATAGTAATGTGTGGACATGTGCCGTTCGACAAGCGCGTCACTGCTGTGTTGTGCTAGTGCAGTGCGATGGTAATGCGAACAATCACGAACAAACTGTAATAGCTAGTACCTTAGTACTTAACGTAACTGATGAACTTTCATTAGTTCCACATCCACCACAGAGTCGCAGTGTCACTCGTAACTGGATGTCAATTAATAAGCCTTACCAGCTGTGACTATGAAAGTTTCATGATTACAGGAATCGTGCATTTGAATAATTGGAATTTGTAATACATGACTGAGCCGTGGCTGTAGGTACTTAACTCATATTTCGGAATTGAGATTTCTGTCCATTGGTTCGGATGCCTTCTAACGATCCATTCATCTCTATCTAGCTGTTAAGAAGTTTCATTTAGACTTAATCGAAATAAATAAAACGTGTCATCGAATAGTTTATTTACTTACTCTGTGTACTAACAGTGAACTGCAGTTCCTAATACGTAATTAAATCTAATTAGAACAATCTTTAATTTATTCGAAACATTTACCTTCTAGTTTTGTACTAAAGTTTTATTGTTAGAAGGCAGCCGAACATCAGATTAGGTTTTCGATAGCCAACAAATTAGTTCGTTGAAGGACTCTGTAAATGCATTGAGATTTGAAAAGTGTAACAAGCAAATAATCATCTGAATAAATTGTGTGTAAATAGTGTAATAGTTGAACAACCCGTCGTTTCTAAACAGAGACTGATAACGAACAATGTCTTCGAAACCGTACTGTCTGGACGAAATACTTGATGTGACTGTTCTCTCATTAGTAACATCGGGTTGTGTAACGCTGTGCCCGCGGCGCGGCTGGCGGCCGGCGGGCGGTCGGCGGTCGGACCTCTGTGTTTATACACTCTACCTACCTCTGCTACTCACACTGTCTTCTGATCATAATTTCGTACTTAAGCAATTGTTCACTCAGTATCCCATTACTTTACCGACCGCCCCCCTCCTACCAGCGCTAGTGGCCGCGAACCACGGACCTGTGACTGCATGGACCAAACATACCTAGCACGACTAAATAGAGCAAAGTACAAATTTCAATAATAAGATGCATTAGTGCTCCGGCGCATGTTTGTCCACCGTTGTCAATTACTCAAATATTTGAATTGTGATTCGGTAGCTAATGAGAGAAAACTCTATGTTCTTAAATTTAGTGTACATATTATATACGGAGATGGGCATTATGGCGTGGTGATCGCGCCCGTTGTAAATATATTATGTAAAGTAATAATTTTATTGATGTCGAATGTCGGGTAGCTTGTCATCGCTCGGCCCCGGTAACCCATGCCGCCGCCCTGTTGTATATTACGACCTCTATTCTGTCCAATACACTCAACAAGTACAGATATACAAGTTACATAATTATGCATTATTAATATAATAAGATGTCACAAAATTTTATCGCCAGTACAGACCAATATACATGAACAACGTTTAGTTATAATATTTTGGGTTCTAAACTCATAAGTGATGCACTGAGTAACTGAATGATCAGCTCAATCTATTTTATTTTATGGGTTATTTCATGTTAGATATTTTGTTGATGATGTCCGTATGGTTGGTTGTGATGGTTTACTTAAGTAAGTTAGCGACTCCGGCAAATTGCCATGTTTCACTTGTACCTACCTATTACATTTTACTCTATATTTGTACTAACATTTTTGAGACTGTCTTGTATTCCTGACGCACTTGTGTATGACTTAATTTTTGAAAGTACTTAAACCTAAATAGTCGAAGCTTTCAGTCATCCCTCTTAAATATTTCAATTAGTGTAATATTTGTTAATGCTCGAGCGTCAGGAATACGAAACGATAAATGCTTGCAATATAATGTAGGTACAGAAACTTCTTATCCTGTCATTTTCATAAAATAGTCGACTGATTCTTTCAAGTCGGGTTGTCAGTGAATGAATTTTATGATTGTATGTACGTCTTGATTGTAAAATTTTGTACAAAAATAAGTGGAGGACCCCTACGTTTAAATTGTATTTAATACTCCTTAACTGTTATCGTTTGTGTCGTGGGCACGACCCGGTCGCTGCGCGTCGCGCGGCGGCGCGGGTAGCTCGTACGTGCGACAGGCGGTCGCGCGAGCACGCTGCGCACAGTGTTGTGACCTCCAGCAATAATTATGATGGCAGGTAGACTCCTTGTCGCATCCGTCTTTACTCTGTTGCAAACGTTTCAAAGAAACATTCGCAACGTTTTCATACGTAACTTTACGACTACATTGTATAAGTGTATTTCCTTAGTGTTTTTCATTGCCATTGGTTACCAAAAATGACAGGATTTTTATTGAAACTATTGTGAATATATTTTAGAATGAATACTCTCGTTAGAAAATTGAGAAAAGCATTTTGAAGGGGCTCATATTGCACATCGAATTGTTAAATCGTTCCTCATGTTGGGAGTTCTCAAAGTCGTTTCTCGATTTGTCTAATGTAAGATATATAATTGTAATATATTATTGTTTAAGCCGTTGTATCGAAAATAACAAGAACAGGAATAATTTTGTGAAACAATGGCACAAAGAATGAACATAAATATTATATATATTATAGAAACAGAAATGTGGCTATAAAAGCAATTTTTATAATAAATATTTACTGTTGAAGAATCTCAGACTTTTATTCCTATTTTCCTTTGTGACGACGCTGTGAAATAAGCAATCGCAGGCGCTGGTATTTAACACAATATGATAAACGAAAAATTACATACATACCTATAACCCATTCACTTACATATATATCTACACGTACAATGTCAAAATATAAAAGAAACTTCTCTGTAAAATCTAGACTCGCCATAGTAAAGGTGCTCAGTTACATGTTATCGAGAACGTACTTTCAGGTGTAATTTTCAGTAACAACTAGGAAAGAATCGATTATCAACACTAGCTAATGGTTTGAAACGAGAAGGTATAATAGCTTATGTTAAAATGAAATAAGAAAGAACATTTTATCACTTACTGGCTTCTACCAGCTACTTCAAACCATAATCCTCGCTCTCACCTGCATCACCACACTCTTATTGCATCACCACACCCTCACTGCATCACCTAAAGGTTAGCTAGCAAGAATGCTCGCCTATGTACTCTTGTTGCATTAAGTATGAAAAAAAAAAAAAAATCCTTCCCTGTTCCAAATTTCATCCTGATTCCTTCAGCCTTTATGACTTGAAGGAGTAACAAACTTACAAACTTTCCCATTTATAACATTAGTTAGATGTATAGTAAATATTTTGATATTGAGTACATTGGAAAGGCTAGATAGCACAGAGTAAGGCTAGATAGTAGAGAGAGAGAGAGATCTACCGTCGTTTCTTCTAGGTCTGGGTGTGATGGGTAACCTTAAGAAACTAGAACAAGTTATTTCTTGTAGCATAAGTATAGGAATAGGAATATGAATCAGAATTGTTCGATCTGATACCTGCCGCGTCTTACCGCCACCGACTCTCACAACAGCATATGCATCCCCATTATATTGGCAGACTACAACTGTGCGCTTCTCTCGTAGCTTTTTGCCTCACACAGCAAAACTGTGGAATGATTTGTCATCGGCGGTATTTTCGAACCGATATGACCTTCAGACCTTCAAGAAAAGAGAGTATTCCTTTTTAAAAGGCCGGCAACGCATCTGTGAGTCCTCTGGGGTTGCGGGTATCCACGCGGGTATCAGGTGATTTGTCTGCTCTTTTGCCTCCTATGCCATAAAAAATTCTCCAATTCGAAGCGAAATTGCACATAGCCATGCTTAGGTTTGCCGCACATCAGCACATGCCCCCTTACTCGCACTCGTTCACGACCCTGTGCCAATGTCGCTTTGACATTTGTGGGCATGTGGCTTCCACGAGGCGTACCATGCCAGCACATTAACCTATCCTATTCTATCAAATTTCTTTCTTACACCGTCAACTTTATAGTATTCACATAAAGTCGAAAATTCAATGTATTTTGATGGATTGGGGTAGGTTGATCTTTTGGCCACTGTACATACATCAGTCAGTGTCTCTACTATTCATAGATGAAAACAAATTAAGATATCTAACACAGTGATAACTAGTTTTTTAATAGATTAAGAAGCACATTATCTGAAAAAAATAGAGAACTCATATCTGTCCAAACGGAAAACACATGGAGAATTCAAATGAACTGAGTTTTATGACGAAAAATTTAAAGATTATTTTAGAATGACTAGAAACGTTTCTAAAGAAGTACATGCGATGATTGCTACAGATTTAGAAAATCAAGCATATTATTATGGTGGTCATGAACGGACTAGTAATGAAGAAAAATTGACCGTTTTAAGGCACCCAAGTTTATTATGTATATAAATAATTACAAAATGAAGTGGAAGTACAAAATAATAATTTATAACAATTTAATTTTAAAAGTTTGAAACACATTACAACCAAATTAACTAAAAGTAACTGAGGTCTACTACCACAGAGGTGTTCTTCCTCATATTTTCACGTGAGTAACCCACGATTTTAGTAAACTTAGTATGTCTCACGATAGTTAGATATTATAAAAACATATTACAACCATCAAGTTCATTACCTTGAATGATTATAATACTTGGTGTCCCACCTTCCCGAGGCTGTAGTTCTGCAGGAAAAGGCGTTTATGCTGATCCTACATTTGTGAATGAGAAGAATGTGGTCGAGGCGAATATTCCACCAAGTTTTTAGATTCTTCTTGGGCCACCAATGAGAATATGTTTGTTTTAATATTGTGTTGAGACTGTGGCGGTAATCTTTTTGTAGTCTCGTACATACTAATAAAAAAATGAAAAAGTGCATCATTTTTAACATTGCTAATAATGACATCATTATTGGCGTTAGCAATTAAGCGCTCCCGTTCTTGCTGTCTCTTAACTGCTCTACGTTCGTGGTTCTCAATCGATTTAATTAGTAGATTATTTAAAGTGTTCTCTGTGCGTCGTCTTTTATATCCTTGATCAGCTGCTGTACCAGTATATTGTGATTCAGGGATTTCATTAGTTTCTTCATCTTCTGATTCAAGAATATCCGAATCGCTAGCATTGCTTTGAAAATCGTTTTCTACAGTATTTGAATTACTATGATATGATTCGTCATTGAGTATGTCTTGATTGATATTGGCGTTACTTGTCCTTATTGCCATATGCGGGATTAAAAACGCCATAGCTTCTTGATAGCGCCATGTCCTTACAGTCCCTGATCCAGTTTTCGATTTAAATTTTTTCTGCCGACGAAGCGCATCTCGGTGATTGTTTCTCAGCTTTTCCCAAGATTTCTTGGCTTCGCTTCCTGTAATACAATTACTTATCATTAATAATCACGATCACGGCTATATAATAAATGCATTTTATTTTCTCGTGTGCGGTAACTCGTATCGGAGCATTGGTTATAGTTACAGAGGGAATTAACGATTGTGGTACGAGTTTGTATTATGTTCGGACGTACAAAAACCCGCCGTACATCGCGACTGCCTCATAGGCTGAGTGGTCGCCAGTGCCACTGCCGGACAAGAAGTTATTACTAGGATTTTAAAAATTTTCAGTAGTAGCACGGAGACTGAAATTGTACCCGGTATATGGCAATAGGCTCACCCCTTATTACATGGGACTCATAGTATAAATAGTGAAAAGTGGTTGTTACATTGTACAGTGGCATTAAGTGCCGTAATGTGCATCTCTGTCTACTCGAGGATAAAAGGCGTAATGTTATGTTATTAAAGTAATCGAAACCAGTACGCGTTCGGTGCTCAGAGTGCCAAGCACGAATAACTATCGCATTCGTAACGTAATAGTATCGAGCACGTTCGTCACTCTGATTGGCCGGCTCCAATGAACCAACCAATCACAGCGCCGAACGCGGTCTCGTTTCGATTACTTTAAACGTAAAACAAACTTGTACTAAGTCCTCAGAATCCATGGGAGAAAAGACTATTTCAAATATTATTTACCAAGGTATCTTCAGCTATTTGGAGGACCATGCAATCTAATACAACAGTAACTATGGAACTTGTAATTATTATGTAGGTAAATGTGTATAGGTATGAGTACCTATATTAATAGGTATATGTTAGAACTTCATATCTACCTACACAATAGTTTTAGCTGTTTTAGTTTTTGTTAAGTACCTGCCTTTTTAGTACCTTATATAATCTAGACGATATTTTGTTCAATGAACAAACAAACAACGATAATTTCACATACATATCATCAGTGAATGTACTGTAACTTACCATTCTTGAGATTTAGCTCCTTTGCGATTCGTATCCAAATAGATTCCTTTAATCTTATTTTCATATAATCTTCGTGTTTTACGTCGTATAAACATTGGTGTTTGCGAACAGCTTCAATAAGTTCTTTCATTTTGCAAACGCTCGCGACACTGCCACTCGAAAACCGTGTGTCGATCACTGGCGACTCGCGCGTGCACGCTCATGTACGTGGCTGCGTCGTCACGTGAGAGCGGAGACTGCGCTATCGCGTTCGTTCACTCGTTCACGACACTGCGCCAATGTCGCTTTGACATTGGTGGGCGGGGCATGTTCGCGTCCATCTTGTTTGATTTTCGTCTACGTACGATAGAAATACTGAATGATGTACTTATGATGATGATTCGTGAAAGCAATTGCAGACACCTCACAATTTACTAGTATCTAGGCAAAAATCAAGGTCCGCTTCCAATACAATAGGATTAAATACATCTGATGAAAATTGCTCCTCAATCAGTATGACTATATAGGGGAAAAAACTTTTAGGACAAGTGCAATACCACGATATACATATTGCGGTAACTTGCTTACAGTACACCAAGTTAGAAATGGGTATTACTTTTTAAATCTGCACTTCTGCTTAGCATTTCGAGGACTGAAAAACACCTTCATATAAAATTGTACAATTTAACTGTTTTTTCTATATACTTTACGATTTACCTGTACAGTTTAAAACTGTACAGTTGAATCGTACGGTGTGTAGCGTGCAGTATGATGTTACTACGACGGTTTAGATTTAGCTACCTCAATAAATGTAGTCATACCTTTCCCGAATAAGATAAGGCCTTTGCCCTTTCGTCTTTGGGACATTGAAGCAACTAGAGGTCACTACAGTAGATGACACGCACATGTAACATTACACCTGTAAATCTTAAAGACCTTGGCAGAGTTATATGAAGCTATATTGCGCAGTTCTATGTAGTTATGTCGTAAGCCCCATGTGATAAGGGCCGATAATATTACCATGGATTTTGGTTTGAACCTTATTGCCTTCGTTGGATAATAGCAATGTTGCTTTGACCAATCGATTTGATCGTCAAATCAATGTATTTTCGAAATATCAAAATTGATAGTTTTATGTTAATTCTATATATCTTCTAATGTCACACTATTGTATAGTATGGTATTTTTTTAACTATGGAATCTACCAAAAAATATATCGTTCTTGACTTAGCCTAAAAAGACAAACAATTCGCAATTTGTTACATTCTATTGTTCGATCAATTTCTGAACAAAAGTGCCATTGTTGTTATGTATTTTACCGAAATACTTCATCTATTTTTAACTAAAGATATAATGTAAAAGTTACAAGCGCTACTGTAGTCAACTAGATTAACTAGTACTTCAATGAGATATTGTACAAAATAATAATTAATTAAACAACTAGAAGTTTGAAAAGCAATGAGACATTTTTGTTAGAGTATTGGTGAAAATCGCATTAAAATCCGTCCAGTTCTTTTTAAAAAGGTGCAGTAGGATAGCAGGGATATCGTAGGTTTATATAGGAAATTAAGATGGAGCCAAAAATATATCTCTATCTATCTACGTAACACCACAAAAACTAACGTGATGTTGTTTGTCCAGGAATACAAGTGACCACAAAATGTCCTTGGAATGTCTGATACTTTCTAATATATTGGCTCACTACTGACCGTCCGTGCCAACTTATTAATACCCATTCATATAGCACTTAAAAAACTTCGACTTTATCATCTTCATCGTCGTCAGTTCGTTCCTGTGCACTGCTGAATATGGGTCTTCTTCCCAATCTTCAGCTCTTAACCCGTCGAGCGTCCGCGTTCCTTATGCATTTCCTTATCCTTATGCATCCAAGAAAATGCATTTATTTGGCCATTGGCACACGAAAACAAGGATCATTACAATAGAAATAAAACAAATACAGTCAAAACAAAAACAAAACATTAATAATAGATTTTATAAAAGAGAAAGCAGCATGGAGCATTTTTTCTTATGATACACCGGGTGCTCATAAGGACGCTCGAGGGGTTATCATCCTACCACTGCCAGCCACTTAACAAAAATAGAAAATCTGATATACTTACCATTGTAACAACGTCATGGTCTGTTTTTCCCCGAGCTGATACGACAAGGTGTAACGTCACTCGCACTTATCCTGTATTTCTGTTAAGGAATATGACTGCTGATACAAAGACTTTCGAAGTCAAAAGTCCTTTTAGGTAACATTTTCATTGAATCAGGGATCTTTAACTCATCAATTCGACTAGTGACCTCATGACAAACGACCCAGTTAAATAATTAACAGCAGACTTCAATAATCAATTCCTAAATCCTTATTCCTAACATTCAAAAGGCCGTCAACGCATTTGTAGAGTAGGTACCTCCTCTAGAGATGAGGATGTCCATGGGCGACGTCGAATACTTCCCATCAGGTGAATCCGTATGCTCGTTTGCCGCCCTTACCTACAAAAAGTTCTATCGGAAGGCTTGACTGCAATATAAAGACAATTTTTTGACTTGTTCCATAAAATTAACAATAGACAGACTTGTTAGTACCGAATTCTTGTAAAAATACTCTGTCAGTACTGAGCACTCATGCTCATGCTCATGCTGACTACTCATAGATACTAACTCAAACCAACTCACCTATTCAATGGGTACTTACTCAAATCTGACCATAACAAGTCTTTCCCAAGATATGACACTGTTTTCTGGTGTAAACACAACATAAATATAAACTATTATTTTGTTTTCAACCTAAAAAGAGGAAAATGGTGAGAATTTGTCATATATTTTGAAGTTGCAATTACTCATCATTATTCGGTCACTTCGTCCCTCTGAATTGAAACACAGAATACTATTTAGTGTATGATAAAAGTAACAAAAAAGTTTAATTCCTGGAGCAGTCTGTGAATTGTGAGTTAAAAAATATACTAAGTTTGTATCAAAGTAAATAAGTAGGTAGACAAAATAAAACAGTGCTTATCTACTTGCAATTTCGGCGACAGATAAACTGTGATAGTACTCAATAGGTACATACGAAAAAAGATATTTAATGTATTTATTTACAAGCAATGTATTTTTTTTTACAATCAAAATAAAAAGAATACTATTTATATCTAAGTATATTCACAACAACAATACGTTTAATAAAAACTATAAAAAATATAATTCTAAGTTTAGCTCTGCGCTCGACTGAAGTTTCTCCCCTCGTTTGATACATCCAGCGACATCTATTGACGACATTTTGGAAATAGGCGCGAACAAACATGGCGCTGATATTTCTTTCTCATTTTTTCAACTCTATGTCGATGGAGACTGCCTGGACTCCATGTAAAGTTCTCTTATGCTTCCACATATCACCCGAACGTCTGTGAAAATCAAGATTATTAGAAGAACATCATTAAATTTTATGGTAGTGATTGTATCGTTGACCGAGTGGCTGCGAACGCGACTGCCAAGTGAAGGGTCTCGTATTCTATTTCAAAGTACTGTAACGATTTTTAACCAGTTCCATAGAGTCCAAAACTTATGCACGACAACATGATATTTTAGTAACAGGAACAAATGGGACCAGAAGCTAGAGTGCCGCCTATAGCTTCGAAGAATAGGAGGCGTAATTTTATTTTGTAGACACCAAATAACAAACACGTAACCTCAGTTAGACAATCTTATAAAATGCGTAAAATATAATTAGGAACGTACAACACGCGAATAGTAAAAGTCAATTAACTCAAATTATTATTAACTTAGTTGAATGAAAAGCATAACATTCGTATTCCAAGATTCACCTCCGAAAGAATAAACAGAAATGCACCCTACACATACCTATAAATATATAAATGTTAAATATTTTTATTCTGCGGAAGTCCCGTAAACGGTGTTACCGAGGTTTGCCAATTGTCATAGGTATACAGATACTTTTTTAATCAGACTGCTGGGCAAATACCTCTTCTCACACAGAAAAGAAGTTTGCCCATACATCCCCAAGCGGTCACCGGTGACCGCTCTCCACTCACTATATTATAGACCTTATTTTCAATGTTTAGAGACTACTATTGTATGAACAAACTTAGGAAATGAATTTCAACGGGTTAATCACCACACTTGTTCAAGACGGTTTACCAAAGTCTAATTTAAAATTTGGAATTAAACTATTCCTTACATTATTGCTGTTTCTACCAATAATACCTACCTAAGTTGTATAAAAAAGCTAATGGGAGCTAAAGATGACTAAAAGACATCCTAAAGTTTTTAGCATCTAAATAGCAATGTCTTATTATATTTTTTCCTTACTACACCGAACTTGAAAAAGATGGGGAGATACGCATAAGGATAAAGGTACAATACTTTACCCGAGTGCAGGTAGAAACGACACAATGACACAAATCATTTTGGTTTAAGGTACTGAGGGACCGTTTTTGTCATTCTTTGCTTACCCTTCTTGTATAAGTTATAGCGTGAAGATGAAGTATAGATTTAAGAGTTTAGAGTAACTGATTTTGTACTATGATCTTTAAGAACTTAGTTTTGTTTATGGATTGAATAAGACTAAGTTAATCATTGAGTAAATTAAAGTGTATAATTATTGTAATTAGTGGCAAGATGATTTTCTTTAGGCTCTTTGCTATTTGGCATTTTTAAAGTATATGATTTGCTAAAAATGAAAGATATATCTTAAGTAATTTGTAAAAAAACATAATATAAATGAAGCATTAATTAGAAATAACATCACGCGTTTTACCCCCGAAGGGATAGGCAGAGGTGCACATTACGGCACTTAATGCCACTGTACAATGTAACACCCACGGTTCACTATTTAAGTTATTAGTCCCGTGTAATAGGGGGTGAGCCTATTGCCATATACCGGGCACCTTTTCAGACTCCAATATTCTTAGTAGTAGACTGAGAACCCAGTAATTCTTAGCCCGACCCGGGAATCAAACCCGAAACCCCTTGCGCGGCAGTCGCACTCGCGACCGCTCGGACAACGAGGCAGTCAATGAATAATGAATATATTTAAAGTATTTTACCTGAAGGCAGTTCCACAGATATCACACTCATGAGGTTTCTCTCCAGTGTGAATGAGGGTGTGCACGGTGCGAGCATACGGTCTTCGGAATGCTGCACCACAAATGTCACAGCGGTATGGTCTGTAAGAAAGATGTGACTTAGGTTAGGTAGGTTCAGCTGATTTCCTATAAGCAATCCTTAACACCTTGAACGCCATGGGGGACAAGGTATGGGCCACGCTAGCGGAGGATTTACCCTCAAGTTTTCTATCGGAGCGGTCAAAGGCTTAAGCTATACATAGAGTGGAGTTGAAGGAGGGCAGGGAGGTCTTTGTCCTGAAGCTGAAATCATGGCCGAAAATAAAATAAACAAAATAAATCCTCATGCAGGTATAATAAGTAAGTGATTGCCGAGGTCAAGTGTTAAAAAAGGTAGGACTAGGACTGAGACCTTTGGTTTCAAAATAGACAGTAGTAATACTAAGTCTAGAGTCTAGACTGTTTTATGACACAATTGGCGAAAATTGGTGTATACGAATAGAGGATTAAAAAAAAGATTTTTATTGTTACACATAAGTACCATCATGCTCTTTATCCCCGATAGGGTAGGCAGAGGTGCACATTACGGTACTTAATGCCACTGTATAATGTCACAGCCACTTTTCACTATTTATGTTATGAGTCCCATGTAATAGGGGTCAGCCTATTGCCATATATCGGGCACTATTCTGGACTCCATGTTACTACTGTTTTTTTTAAACCCTGTAAAACTTTGCCCAATCCCGGAATCGAACCTGAAACCTTTGGTCGCACTTGCGACCACTCGGCCAAAAAGGCAGTCATTTTTATTGTTCTTCATACATCAGTGATCTAAGGAGATTTTTTTATGGCATACGCCAGTAAACGAGCAGACGTATCACCTGATGGTAAGCAATCGGCGTCGCCCATGGACACCTGGAACACCAGAAGCGTTACAAGTGCGTTAGCTACCTTTTGGGGATTAGGAGTTTGAGGATCGTTAGGGATTGAGGGATGAGATTCACTTCATAGGAAAATTATGTAGGATATTTTATTGTTTCGTACGTGTGTTTACTAATAATCCAAAAACAGTTCGTACGTTATAAATATTACCGTTGTGCTGTGCGGAAATTGAACAGGCGACACAACACACAGTAATCGCTCTTCTAGCGACTGAGTCACTCGTGCAACCATCTATTATTAACAGCTATTATTACGAACCGTGACCAGATTCTATTGATGTAATAATATCTTTTTTGACGACAATTACTTCGCAATTAATTCTCTGAATCTCAGAAATACCTAAGCAGTTACTGACCTGGGTCAGTGACAATCGTATTGCTCTCAATACCAGTTAATTATGTGACAGCTGTATTAAAGTAACTACATCGCTAAACTATATTAATAAACATAAAATAATTTGTTTTCGGCAGGTGCCATATTCATCCATAGTTCCCAATTTATCAGTGGACTGGTAAGTATATTGGAAACCCATCCATATCTACCTTTTTCCATTATCTACAATAGTTCTTCTACAGTAACCGGGGACTGTCCTTGGGTGCATTTCCATAGTGCACACAGGGATAGTCGCCGGTTTGTGTGTCCATTACATTTAAAGTTGTCTAAAGGGCCTCTACGCAGTTGGCTCCGTGGTCCCGTGAATCATATATGTAATCTCCGAAACGATATACAGAGTTTTTATAAGAACTATTGTGAGACATATTGAATTAACTAAAAATGAGTTCCTCATGTAAATGTACTGAGAAAACCTCTACTAGTTTCGAGTCACAGAGGGACTATTCCTCATGAGCAGCGTGCGCTTGCGCGGTCGCGGCGATGTCGCGCAGTTGGCTGCGCGCGAGCTTTAGTGTACATTTGCATACAAAGGTGCACTATGCACTAATTGTATATTATACATACATTTAAAATAGTGAAAAGTGGGTGCTACATGGTACAGTGACATAAGTATTATAATGTGCACCTCTGCCTACCCCCTTCGAGGAAGAAAGGCGTGATGTTATGTTGATGTTGTTATTTTACCGCTGACGATCCGTTTTCAAGAGTTCCAAGAATTAATTCCGGCCAAATTAACGTTTCGTTGTAAATACCAATTATTTATTAACATATTCACAAATACATATACATAATATTGGAATCCGAAAACTAGTAAGCGTCCAAATGCAAAAGTAAACAAATATGTTACCTACATACCTACTTATTTAAAAATAAATGGTTTATTTAAAGTTAAATAAACGGACCCGTCATAGACGGACATATAGTGACCAGATTGGCGATATATTAAAGAAGGGCCAAATTAAAAGTACCCTTAACCGACGAGCATGCATGAAAAGATTGATGACTCTTGATGAAGCGAAAGAGGTATGTAGGAATCGTAGTAATTGGCGTTCCATAGTCTCTGCCTACCCCCATTGGAGACAGGCGTGAAGTTATGTATGTATGTATTTATTTAAATTTAAACCTATCTATTGGTAAAACTAAAGGTAAATCTTTAAATTGATTCCGTAAAAGAATTATATAGACTAACCTAGTTCCTAGTTAATATACGAATTCGAATCGACATAAAAGATTTCGCTAATGTATTGTAATTTATTTAAGGTCGTCTTTTTTTAGATTGCGTGACCATTAACGCCATCTACTCATAGAGTTCAAATCTACGTCAAACTTCAAACTAGAATGGTTTCGCTACAAAATATAAAATCATTAAGGTGAGTACTTACTAGTTAAAAAAAAGGTTTACAGCGTTCGATGTGAAAGATAGTATTTATACACAAGTATTTATATTTCTTATGAATATACATACAATAATTTTATTTTATAGATATAATAAAAACATAGCGGAAGACAATCATGTAGAAGATACCTAGATACTAGATACATTACAATCACTAGTCTATAACGATAAATTAGAACAGAACTATTATAAAAGCTAATAAAATTGCGTCTGGATGCAAAACAAAAGGATTGTATGATAACCTTTGGTCTGTGTGAATTCGTGCGTGCTCACGCAACCGTGCGGCCGCTGTGAACGTCTTGGGGCAAGCTGTGCATGCGAAGGGTTTCTCGCCAGTGTGGGTCCTACGATGGTCGTCGCGCTCCACCTGCCACCGACACCATTCCACATACATTATCATATGGAAAAAATACTGGGAACTATCCCGGTCCAGCCCATAGTAAATAGCGCGTGCAATGAGCTTTTTTGCGATTACCCAGTATTTGTGTTCAGTTATACTTAGGTACGTATTTCACTTTGTTTTAAGTTATAGTTGTTTATTATGTAAGTTAACGGAGTATGCATTAGTTTGCCTTCATTGTGGGGTTTTTGTTTGGTGTCATATTGAATTCTATGCGTATACGTGTCTTCACTACTTCAGTAAGTATTAAGCCGTAATTATGATCAATTTTCTAATAGAATCTGAAACTTATCTGGAGCTCTAAGTACTTTACCCCTGGAAGAAACTTGAAAAATCGTGCTATATATACCCATAGGGACCTCCTTAAACCCTTAACATTATTTGCTTTCTAACATCTAAAGAAGGAAACTTAATCTTATACCTTGACTTTGAATGCTTTAGGACAAAGATCACAAGGGTAAGGCCGTTCTCCAGTATGCATCCTCATATGGATGGCCAGGTGTCCTGATTGGTTGAAGCGTCTCCCGCAGACACGGCAAGGGTAACCCTGGAATAAAAGGTGGGCAATGTGAACGATGCCTCTGGCGTTGCAGATGTGCAGTTAAATACGTCCATATACTTCCATAGAGTATGATAACCGCTTTCCATAATCTGATGGATGGTAAGAAGTAAGTAGAAGATAAGTTGGAAAATAAATAAGTTTATTCCACATATATGCGCCGTCTTCACTGTTTTAATTTTTTTTGTTTGTTATTGTACTTTGTGACGGTGTGCAAATAAACAATTTTTCTTTCTTTCTTTCATATATTTCCATATGAGATTTGCAGCTGAACATAAGAATGTTGTTATAATAAATATTGTGAGACATGCTGATTTAACTAAAACATCATGAGCAGCGCGCGGTCGCAGTCAGTAGGCTGCGCGACATCGCCGCGATCGCGTACACTGTTGGAGAGGAGGATGAGGAAGTCCCCCTGTGACTCGAAACTAGTAGAGCTTTTCTCAGTATATTTGGGTGAATAACTTAATTTTTATGAAATGAAATGATATTTATTTCTAGGTCACATAGTCACTTTTACACGTCAATCTTTAAATTACTAGGTGAGGGCTGGCATTTCCTAACAGACTACTCTTGGATGAAACGCCGGATAAACTCAGATAAAACTCAGAAACTTAATTCAATTGAACAAAAGAAGTTATAGAATGGGTAGGCTGGCCGCTGGATGTATCGATATGACAAACCGAAATGTCATATAGCAGTAGGTAATTATTAAAAATATAAAAATTAAAAAGTCTCGTAGATTTTTTAAAATCTCTTTCCTGATATATTTCCAACATAAGTAATATCTTAATATGTCGCGTATTGTGTTCAGAACAAACAAATAATCTTTGTAAAATACATATGCCATATTTTTATAATAGGTTACTATCGTGACACATACTAAATTAATTAAAAATCGCGGGTTACTGACGTGAATACACTGAAAAGAGCTCTACTAGTTTCGAATGCTTTGCCTTCAGACTTCAGTAGAGAGAGGAAGATCCCCTCTGTGGTTTGAAACTAGTAGGATTTAAATGTACAAAAGGCAAAACAATAAAGACTGTACTGTACTGATACTGACTGTAAAGTTAAATGCCTGTACTAGAATAGGGAATAAGATAGGAGAAACAATAAAAATACAAAAATATCCCTACACTATTGCCCATGATTACAGCTTAGTTACTTTTATTGGTTTCGAAATATAAACCAGAGTGAAACAATATAAGTAGAAAATGGCGCTACCTAGCGGGTCCGTTGTATAACTTACAGGTTTAGTAACTTTGTGCATTTTCTTGTGCGTATGCAGTGCGCACATGCTGCCCAGCACTTTGTCGCATTCCTCGCACACGTAGGCCATCAGTGGCGCGCCCGGGGGACGGTCCTCCCCACGCTTGTGGCGGTACAACTCTCTACAATGATTATTATTTCTATAAATATGACTACAATATTATATAACAATCTTCTGTATTTACTCTAGGTATCTACTTAATAATAGTGGTTTCAAACGAAAGATTTTTTGTAGCTATTTACTTGAACAATCATTAACATACTTATTTTTTTTGGTTTAGTATATAGTCGCACAGACCCAGGAACCGAACCTAGAATAGTCTTATCTACCTGGCAGACCATTTCCTCAACTTAACGTAGGTCAATAAAGGAACAATTAACAATTAAAAATGTACAAAGTTAAGTTCAATGTTAAAAATGACAAGATTTTCCTTTGTAACTTTTAATATACTTAAGTGACAGGTAACGCCATCTGTTGATGTCAAAGTTAAACTCATGCTTTCTTTGTTCTCCGTTCGGAGATTTTGTAGTTTCTCTAATTGAATACGAAATAATCAAATGTAATAACAAAAAATAATTGGTCTTTTTAATGTTTTTGGTTAGACATTCAAATTATTTTTGTCTTCTATTCTTACCTTGCAGTTGCGAAAAGTTGATTACAAGAGCCACAGTTCCACATTTTACTGTTACCGCTGTTCGTGTAGCTTCGTCGTGATGCCCTGGTTGGTGGAGGCTTAAGACACTCCATTGAATGGACCTTAAGTTCCTCGGTAGATCCATATTGCTTGCCACAAATGTCACACGCGTAACATACTATGGGACCAAGATGGGTGTTTGCATCTAAGGTGCAGTTTCCCTATTAAAGAAAATTGAGAAGTCTTAAACGGATGTTACATTGTGGTTCTTTGTCCGACTCTGTAATTTGTTTATATGTTTAAGTATTCCGGGACCATTTAAATGCATTCATAAAAGATCCAAACAGTAATTTCTGGAGTAGGTAAAGGTACCGAAACTGGCAACCGGATCGGTCGTTGCGCTTGCAGAGAGGAGCAGGAGAGGAGAGCAGCATTAGTTCCGAAACTGGACAAGGTTATTATTATGTATTCTGTATTGGATGGTAAGACGTACATTTTGCTCCTCATAATAATGATTCTGATCTTCAATGAAGCAGGTGAGCCTGTGTTTGTCGAGAGCGTCACCGTCGGCGAAGAGACCGTTGCAGAAGTCGCAGACGTACATTGTGTACAGCTTGCGAGATGCCACATTGCCCTTACCATCGGCGGATATGCAGCATAGTTGTTCTACAAAGTTTGAATAAATTAAGTAAGGTAGTAGAAGCTATAGAATTTGATAAAAGATTGCTCATTTGGTGCAGTTTTTAGACAATCGTCTGCGCAAATTTGCTCGGAGAAACTAGGTATGTTTGTGTCTACATCTTGAGTAAGTATACTCCCAAAAAAAATCAGTCTCATACGAGATTTCTACTTATTTTTAAGTCTAAGCATTCAAAACTACTTCAAGTAAAACCAAACCCTAATTCCTTTGGGTTCTAAATCTGTCCTCGCCAAACACACAATGACCCTCTATTTTTAGCAAAGTGCGTAAATCCTTTATTATTAAAAATAAAACAATGCGTAATGTAATCCCTGTTAACTTTACCCGTGGGCTCAACTTCCAGAGCGGTCGATAGCACACGTTCACACATTCGGCACACGAGCCACTCTGTCTCAAAGTTTTCATTGTTTTGAGTAGATCCTGAAAGAAATTATGAAGTTTAAAAGGAAGTTATTCTTTACATTATAAAATTATAAAGTTCATTTTAATTCTGTTATGATCAACTTCCATCATAGAATAATGAAAAATTTAACTAGGTCTAAGTTGTATGGACAGTACCTATGGAATGGACACCCTAAGCAGATCGCCGAATTTTGCGAAGCAGTCATGCTAGCTAAGGAGGAGGCGGGACGCGTGAGGCAGCGAAGTGCTGCCTCCTCGCAACCCAGCCATCGCGAAGGACACACCGGGCGTCGGGGATCGCGAGACGATCTCCGGCCACCGTAAGCGCGGGCCTGCGGACGGCGAGCATGGGTGGCTCCCCGTCCGACCAGAAACAGACCCGAGCGTACGGCGCGTCGCGTTCCGCGCGCGCCTCAAAGAGCCATCAGACCACCACAGATGGGGCCCAATAGGGCCGATGCCGATTCGGAGTCGCGGAGAACCTAACGGGTAACCGGGGCTCCGGCTCGACGTGCAGGAGAAGGAACGGGGTGGTTTTTAGTCAGTAAGAGTCTGACACTCCCTTCCGCCTCACCCAGGCGGGAGCAGTCATTCGATGATTTTCCCCCCTTAAAAAAAAAAAAAAAAAGCAGATCGCCGACATCATCAAAGTTTCGGATAACTATTGGAGTTGGAAGCAAGTAACAAAATTAAATGGAAGCCCGGTGTTCAGCAATAGATGCTGATAATGATAATCAGGTATGACATGAAAAACACCAAACCTTGAACATTTCTGGTTTCAATTTTGTCTTGGTCAGTAGGCAACAAAGTATTTTCAAGTTGGTCTACAGAATTATTAGAAGTGTGGAGCGATATAGTATGGTCCAGAAGATCGGCCTCAGTCGTAAATATCTCATGACAGATTACACAGGAATGTAGAGCCAGTAAGTCCGGCCCGGTGCTTTCACTTGTCTGCAACGAATTTAACTTAGAGCTTCATTTTTAGTTTCTACAAATACGAATTGTTAAGCTACATCTAAGCTTATCTATCTACATTCTTTAAAAAATACTCTATAAACCTACTATTCTCGTCATTACAATAATTATAAACCTGAGATTTCTCTGACGAATCCTGCAGAGGTAACAAAAACTGATTTACTGTATTTTCATCAAGTAATGTTGGTTCATAATTAAACAAGTTATCCGACTGTACAATGTACAGCTCTGTGTTTGGCACAGTGTTCAAAGTATTCTCTTGAAAGTAAGAAGAATTTTCTACATTGAAATATCTTCCGGAGTCGTTTGAATGAAAAGTTAAATGATTTTCCACTGTGTTCATTATTGTGGTTACATCTTGTGGATTTTTATTTGATAGTGTTTCATTAGAGTCAGTAACGGTAGTGAACAGTAAGTCGTCTGGATCATAAGTTTCTGATAATTCTTTGTAGGGATAATCAGGTGGATCAAACATCATAGTTTCGGCTGAAAGAGTAAATTTATGATAATAAAAATTAACTACAGATATAAAATACACAAAGTGTAGTTTTAGACTTTCAGTATGGGCATTAAAACTGTTGGGTAGTAGGAAGTTTCGTTCGGAAATGAACCCCATTTTTTCATGTTGGCAGCATTTATCCTGAGACTGTTGGTTTGACAATTATTCTCAGTTGTCAAAGTGCCGGTTGATGTCATTTACGTCAATCAGTTGGTACTTGGTAAAGTTAATTTGTCATTATATTGTTTACAGTTGTGTGAACAGTATTCCTTAAATTTTGTGATATAAAATAGTGGTCAAGATGAAAGCAGAAGCCGCACCAACTTCTGATAAACCTAAAATACCGTTGCCGACGCTTTCTCAGATCAATGCCGATCGAATAACTCAGGTAAGTTAGGTTATGCATTTCATAACATTGGATAATTAATCAAGAAAATCAACAGTTAAATGCCTTAGATTGTATGTAAACGTGGACTCATAAGTAATTCATCGTTTAAATAATCTTAAATGAGCTACAAAACCAATTAAAAATGTTTGCCAAAAAATGTACAGTGTATAGTCTGTCTTTACTAGAGGACTACATTAATATGATTCATCAATTTCAATCATAATTTCACTTAATATCCATCTTCTACCAGAACTACGGTCTGTCCTGTACTATAAAATTGACAAATAATTTTAGCTCAAAAATTAGGTTATGTTTTATGCTACCCATAGAAAACAATTTTGCAACTTATTAAAAGAAAATACTTCCCGCCAATTCTTCAATAATATAGGTCATGCAAGTGAAAATAATACTTATGGCCTTATTATTACTAAAAACTATATTGTGCTATCAATTTCAAAACTTATTTTGAAACGGTCCATATTAATCTCATAGGATATTGATTAAACAGCTCATATTATTAATCTGTCAAACACCAAGCGGTCACCGGTGACCGCGACCTATTGTTCTTTAATTGTGTCTATAAAACCGGTACTCGACGAGTTAACTAGTGTACGTAACCGACCTTCAAACTTGTAAAGTTAAGATGATTAACGGTCAATGTTTAACTTTACAGCACCCTAAAGTTAAATGCTACAGTAGAAACTCAATTTTCGATTATCAATAGGTACCTAACAACAACAATTTACTGTATAATATTTGAGTGTAAGAAAGTATTAAAGATGTAAGAAATTGACAATTTCATACATATCAAGTTGTGTGTGGAAAATAGGCTCACATTTGGGATTGCAGGTCGAGATTTATTCTCCAGTACAGTTAAAAAGGGATGTAAATACATTTAACATATATGTCCATCCCTTTCCAACTATGCTTGAGCAAAGATTTCCGCTTGAGTGTTATTCTAGTTATAGATAATCTTATAAGTATAACTTCATAGTTATACTAGTCATCATAGTCATTCTAGTGTGGAATCAATTTTTAACCGACTTCAAAAAAGGCGGTTCTCGGTTTGACCTGTATGTGTGTATGTATGTTTGTGCTTGATTATTTGGTGAACTCGTGATTGGCTGAACCGATTTTCAGAAACGTGTCACACTTAGGCGATTTAGTATATTAATTAATCAACTTCAAAAGATAGGGGGTTGAAGTCGTTTAATAAATATGTATAGTTTATGAAAGTATTAATATTTGCTTCTCGATTTCTAACCCATAACAGGTTAAACATACATAACACACAGGTTGAAAATCTCTGCTAATAAGGAAAGTATCTAGTTGGCTAAAATGTTTTTATAATTTTGTCCTACACATTTGTGAAATAGTATGTATAATATTGACATCATTAATATGATGTATGATAGTATGATAATACTATATGATAATTATATCAAAAGAGTATTTAATACATTTCAAATAAAAAGGGATTAAAACTTTTTCTGTACAAGTTTTATTTAGTGCCTTTTTATTCATCTTTTTGTTATGTGAACTGAGGCAAATACCCTTACAAATCTGGTACATATAATATGGGGACACCTGGATGTAGCTCTAACCTAATAAAACTAATGTTTTAAAAATCAAATAAGTTGTATATAAAGTTGTAATTGCTTGACTAAAAATGGAAGACTATAGGCCATTAAACATCATGCTACATCCAGTAGGAACCGGGCACTAGGCAAAACTGTGCTGTATGTAGTATTTTAGTAAATTGTGCAGTACATAGTAGAATTGGCTAGATGTAAATCAATTAGTACTAAAATGTAGTAAATTATATCTGTAAGTGAATACACTTAGTGATAATAAATATTCCAATTAATTATTCAGAGTTGGTCAAATCAACCTCAATGTATGATTTCATGAGGATCATTTATGCATTCATTTTATACTATACATACATTCAATACCAGTTGTAAAACACAACTAAACAAATCTGGGTGCAAATCAAATAATGTATGACTTCCATGAAACATCTAGGCAGTCATGTTTATACATAATTTGATAATTTTAATTTACAATGAGCCTACTGGTATTACATTATGTAGAAGGGCAAGATACAAATCTATATAACTATCCTCATGGAATTGTTTTACAAATCAACATGGTTGCATTGTTCACAGCTTGCTAATCAGTACTGGTCGCCACAAACTAAGGAGAGCCACCTACCTTATGATGCTTCTATTGTGGAATCAATCTACCAAGCAGAAATACTTGGATCCCAGTAAGTAATTATAAAATTTATTTTATTAAAGAATTTCTTCAGGTTATACAAGCACTCTCCCTTCTTAGCCCAAGTGATTTAAACAAATGAGCAACTTTAGGGGTCAACAGCCTAATAGAGTGCAATGACCTATTTATTTTTTTGAAAAAACACCAGTTATTTTTGTAGTTTGCTGCAGTGTTTCCATATTTCATATTTTATGTTGAATCAGTTTAAAAAAATGCGGTTATTTCGAAATTAATTGTGTATTTTGAATTAAATCAAAATTAATTTTTATTTGTCAATAAAGTTGAAATAGTTTTTAAAAAGTTTCGTGTCTACTGTTTTTAAAACAGAATGTTTAGTGTAAGTACTTTTCTTGGAATAAACTTTATGGAGGGAATATACTAAAAATAATTAACTACCTTTTTATATAAAAAAATCTTCTTGAATTTGTTCTTTGTTTAATGCTCTAAACTGAATCTACTTTTAAAATTAACTACTACGGGTTTTAGCATTCAACTGCGGTTTAATTGATCGTTCGTTAATATTTGATAGTGTTCATAGGCACATACAATGAAAGTACTATATTAGGTCATTGTTAGACCAGTTTAATTTCATGACTAAAGTGGAAAAGGTACAAAATCAGGACGTTAGGGCCTAGAATCTCGGGAACAGAGCGGATGTATAAGAGGTACTTGTATACAAAACGAAGAAATGTGTCAGAAAGTGGAGCATGCAACCTGCAACATGGGTCAACCTAGGTTGCAATGACGACGACAATGATTATAATACTAAAATGTACATATATACAATTTCTTCTAATTCCAGTTTTTCAGTACGTCGGATCATGATGCTGGAGTTCTCGCAGTACCTGGAGAACTACCTGTGGCCACACTACAAGGCGGGAGAGGCGTCGCCGGCGCACATGATGTCTATCATCGTCATGATCAACGAGAAGTTCCGCGAACGTGTGCCCGCTTGGCAGGTAAGTTGTTCCTCCTTAACTTAGGTTTCACTAAGTACAACGTAGGTACTAACATACAAATATATTTACCCATTAGCGCGGACCGTCCGCGTGCAAAACTGGTAAAAAGGTTGATTCACATATAACGAATGATGCGTCGCGTCGCGTATTAAGGTGTGAAAGGTAGAATGTTTTACCATACATTCATCTGTTCTGGCGCTACGCGGCCGATGGTACGCAGTGCATCGTCCGTCAGATGTGAATCGAACCACAGACATGAGTAATTTGGCATGTAACCTTGAAGCTTGTCATTACAACGCTAGACTGTCGTCAATACAATAGTGTATAATTTAATAAGCTGTAAGAGCTTTTCATTTCAAGAGTGTAGGTTTTGTCTTTTTAGGATTGCTCAGAAATGTACATTTTTGGAAACTAACACACACTACTTTTGTTTTTACAGGCTTTTTTGAAGAAGCCGGAGCATTTCCCAGCTTTCTTCGAGCAAGTGCTGCGTGCCAGTGTGGAAGATGATCAGACCACTAGTAATATGCGGGAACAGACAGCGCTGTTGCTATTCCTGAACCACTGCTTCGGTAGTATGGAGGTGCAACTCTGTCGCGACCAGGTGAAGAGGCTCGTCTCGCTTAGTATGTGGATTAGCTTACAAGAAGGTATGTTTAAATCTAATAAGACTTTTGTAATTGTAATGTTTCAAGGGTGTATGCTTATTTGTTGTAGATGCTTTTAGTGGTTTGTCCTTTAATAGGTTTTAATTTAGATTTTGTAAAAATTGTGATATGTAAATACATTAAGAAAAACTAAAATCAAGGATTTTTCAAACTTACGAACACTTATTGCATGTCCTTTTATATCTCTTTCGGTAACGCAAAATTGTTCCACTCTATTTTACATGCAGTTATTTATAACATGAATAATTTAATAAAATGTAGAGAAACTTTTTACATTAAACCATCATAATATTGCAAACTTACTGTCTGGCCACATAAATCACATAATTAAGCACTGGATAGTTTGCTTTTTTTTAATTTAAATAGAGAACACCTTGTAAACTCTTTTCACGTAATTTTGGCGCCATAATTTTTTAACTAAACAACTAAAGAATATTATTGCATGTTATTTTGAATAAAACAATTATTATTTAGATAAATGGCATCCTATAATCATTGTTTTAAGAAATTATGTAAAGCAATACAAACTTTTATTTTTAGGTCGCAGAAACCAAGAATTCAAAATGGTGCCAAAATGGCGGAAATATTGGCGCGCTATTCAAAAGAAGGATAAGCCAGAACTGTTGGAGAAACTGAATTGGGAGCGACTGTACCTGCAGAGGCTGATGATTAAGTTCATGAGAATACTTGAGGGTATTCCTGAAATTGGAGACATTGATGCTCATGCTGTGAGGTAAGGATTTGTAAATAAGAATAAAAAATATTTTTTATTAGCTGTTAACTACTGTTCTTTAGTTAGTCTACTGTTCTTTAGTCTAATAAATTGGCAAACTTACTCACAATCTTCCTGATGGAATCCGTTACCGTAGTCTTTAGACGTCTGCAACGCCATGACAGGTGCCGCTCTTGTTTTAACGACATTATTATGTTTTAGTTTAATGGAAAATTATCACAATCGTTTTATCTACTGTGAAAAAAATAAGTTCCTGTCAAACTTCTTTAAAAATGTATTCTGCCATAACTTTCAATGGAAACAAAGTTTTCGATTCTTTTGATTTAATCTCCTGTGAACAGTATTGTTAATAGTATTTTTTCTATTTTTAGATATTGTGAACGATTCCTGGAACTGATGATTGACTTAGAAGCTCTGTTACCGACGCGGAGATTCTTCAACACAGTTATGGACGATTGTCACTTGGTTGTCCGCAGTCAGATGGCGCCACTCACACGCAGACCTGAAGGCCAACTGTTCTGTCAAGTAAGTGAACATTTTGCTCTAATGCTTTAACTCAGATATATAGTTGATGATGTTTTAAATCGATATAAATATTGGTCCGTTCAATTATTGGGTAGGCAAGTGATTGATTCAGGACAAAGACAGTAATCACTGATTGGCTACTAAGTTGAGTGAAATCTAGAAAGTATGTATATCAATTTACTTGGTATAGACTGCCTCGGTGGCCGAGTGGTCGCAAGTGCGACTGCCTGGCACGGGAACTCGGTTTTGATTCCCAAGTCGGGCAAAGTAATTAAATACTGTTTTTTTAAAAAAAGTCAGTATTAGCACGGAGTCTAGAATTGTGCCCGGTATATGGCAATAGGCTCACCCGTTAGTACATGGGACTCATAGCATAAATAGTGAAAAATTTTACATTATACGGTAGCACTAAGTGCCGTACTGTGAATAATAAAGTTAAATAGTGGAATAAAAGGCGTAGATTTATGTTAATTTAGTATAACAATAGCCACTGTCTTTGAACTGAATCAATCCTTATTTTCTTTTCTTACTTGCATACACAGGAACTTTGCTAAGTTTTATTAAACAATGGCCAGGTTTGAAATTTAAAATAAGGTAAAAGTTATCGTTTTATTGTTAAAGACTTTCTGAGTTAAAGTATTAATGTAACTGCTTCATTTTTCATATTTTTTATTTTTCATGTTTAATCCCCAAGCGGTCACCGGTGACCGCTCTCCACCTACTCCATTATAGACCTTATTTCTGATATTTAAGAACTACTTTTGTATGAACAAATTTTGGGAATTTACATCAGGTTATTGTGTACGAAATATAACTTAAGTTCTATTTTACAGTACGGGATTTATTTGGTCATTCAGAATACAGGGTCTTTGTAAAATAATTATGTTACTTAATTTCTTATTTGTGTTAAGTTAATTTAAGTTTTTTCTCTATATTATGATTTAAAAAAGGCAAAACTGCTGTTAACCTTTGAGGTAATAAATTAACTTAGGAGTGAATTTTGATAGTTGATCATTGTTTGTTGGATGTAGAAAGAAAATCTTTATTTTCTACTCGTTTTTAAATTACGTTTAAGGGAAAATAAAAGAATACACTTACAAGTTTTAGCTGTGTTTATTAAAGTAAATCAAAAATGAATTACAAAATATTTATAAATGCGTTTTGTCATCGTATAGTTTCGACGTAAAAGAAAGTCAAAGTAAAAAATATTGAACATAATATAATATAATAAAATGACGTACTTATTTTAATTAGTGCAACAGCGCAATGTATACATATTTATGTATATAAATACTTCACTAACCACCTATAGCTGCTTAAAACAGAAAAGGACGGACATATTATAAAAAGAGATAGCATATAATAGGCTCGTTTTAATTCTCTGTTCCAATATCAATGAGATTCAATAACATTATTTTTGTCGCATACGACAATAATATCGATTTGTTAGTGTTAGTAATTTAATTTTTTGTTAATTTCCTAAACGAGTTTAAGTATCTTTTGTGAGCAATCAATTCCTAACGTCGAGAGATCATCCCAAATATTAGTTTACATTTTTTTTAACGTCACCTACATTTTTAACCTACTCTCATAAATTCCTAGTTCCAATATCTTTGTATATTCTGCTGCCAGTTACTTATTTAAAATACTATTAGTTAAATTGTATACTGTTTGTAAGACACTCGGTTTCAATACATATTACAATCACAGTTAATCGAAATAGGTACTATAGATATTCAGAGAGGCATTGAAATACAAGGGAAACAATCTTATACACTAAGTTGGTGTTTCTAATACATAATTTGAGGCACATATACAAGGCACACGCATTTGTACACAGATTATGTATAACTGTGAAACTTGGAGTATAATATTTAACAGTACAACTATCCATACATCTAACATAGCTCATTTTCATCACATTTAAATATGTCACATTCATACAGATCGTGCCTCTACTGTGAAGCTAATGTTTGTTGGCGTTTAAAACTATTCATGAGATTCTACTTGATATTCAATGATATGTCAGTAATTCCCTCCGTTCATATGAGTCATCTCGTCTCCCCACTCCCCCGTAGGCACAGGCTCTGCATAGCAACAACTCTTGCGCAACAAAAACGTTACATGCGACTGTCGCACTATGCACACATAGAATATTAAAATTGCCTGGAATAGGTTCACGAAGATGTGTGCGTATAACAACTCGTCGATGTTCAGCCAGGATAACAATAAGAACAGCCACGCTGTCGTCATTATGAGGAATAGTTGGAGGAATAAATTAAAACTGGAACAAAATAAAAATCTTTAAAATATGATTTTTTTGTAGCTTAGTTGTACAAGCTGGACGGTAAATAGGACGGTAAAATCTGAATCTGGAGGCACGGTAATGCCTCTGCTGCGTCGAAAAAGGTTTAGGCATTTTAACCCATAATTTAGTATATAGTTTTTCACTGCACCTCTGCCTACCCCTTCGGGGATAAAAGGCGTAATGTTATGTTATGTTTTTTACTATTATAGCTTTATATCATGACACCACTCTACGTACCATCCTTTCAGTTTATGATGTATCCTCCCATAAATGTTGATTCTCTTTATGATCTTCAATGTCGTAACGTAAAAGAATACGTTGAAAATTATAGTGAATGCAACTGGGGTGAAGAATATCGCGATGCCGAGTAATCCTGAAATTGAGAAATATATTTTTTAAAACAAGTTAAAAACTTATGTTTATCTCTATGGTTTTCTGTAGGGCCAACTGCCACGAGAATCTTTTGCTCCATAGAACTCGTCGCATGTAAATTTTATAAGTATTAATCAACATGAGTGACCCATTAATGACAGGTTTATTTGATTAATATTACAAGGAATTTTCTTACCAATGGTTTCCTGTTCAACATCGTCAATGATGATTGACGAAGAGAACTGGATCCTGGTCTTCCTGTTAGGGTTGGTGCCGGTGTCGAGTAGGAAATGTGCGCATATAGCCATACCGGCCATTAACAACACACTGGACCACACCACGCTTGAATAATAGCAGTACTTGCGCACATCTGTCACGCGGAGAAACACGTTGCGAGACCTATAAATACAATTTATTTATTCGTTATTAGCTACGCGCTCTTTTTATTATGTTGTAAATAGCTAAATAATTTTATATGGTTAATTTATTTCTCATGGTTATTACGTAATTATACAATAAGGAAAAAAGTTATAAAACATTTTTTTTTTTCTCATATTTTTATCACACTAATGTGGTTTATGTTATTGACTTAGTTATTCTATTTGTCATGTATAGTTTTGTGTCAAGACCGGTTTTGAAAATGTAAAGCGAGACACCATAAAAAGTTAACTCATTTTAGCATTTACAATAATTTCAAAGATATCTGTTCTGTGTATCGTAAAATGAAATCACCAAAAGGCAGTTTAAAACAGATAAACATATACAATACATACTTAAACGTTTTCCAGATATAAAACCCAAAACTGTTGAGCCAAAAGAAGGCTGCAAGTAGACTGATGTACAGGATGATATCTGAAAACAACAAGTGTCAACAAATTAGTCTATACAGCAAACTAATGTAACAGAAAACTAATTTAGTCATTGCACTACATACCAGTGACCATAAAGCTAACATGGTTGCTGAACTCAGTAAATATTCTCACTAAATCCGCTGCCTGACTGACTATCAAACACATGTTAATAGTTGTGATTATATTCCCGGCCAAGTCTCGAAGTGTTGGCAACACAAAGTATATAACAGCTACCAGTAGGTACAATATCATTGCAATAGCGTGAAATAAAGGGTTGAGAATCTTCTTCATTAAAAAGTTAGTATCTCTCCAGTTAATTTTGACCTCTGGCACACATACTAATGCATATGTGCCTGTGATATTAACTCCTTTCTTTGAATGCGTGTCTTTTAGTGTGAGTAGTATCTGAAAGTAAGAATGACAAATGTAATAGCAGTCTTAACAATGTAATAATAGCTAGCTCAAATTTGATACACCTCATGTTTGATAATTACGTTTGCAACCAAAAACTGAATGAAATTAAACAAACCTCATTCAGGTTCATGTTCATGAATGGTTCACATAACTATTTACATGGTATTTAAAAGGATCATCCTTCTAAATACCTATAGATATGAATCTTGTCATAGAATTGTAGGTATACACATAAAACTGGCCTATAGAAAAAAGTATCATTCAACTGTTTTTTATGTACAGTAACCACTGAGTCACCAACCTAATGACTCAGATAGAAACAAGCACAAAGTAGAATGTAAAAGTTTTTTAAGTCACTGATAATGAAGATACTTAGTTGAAAGTTATCTTAGACCAAGTCAATAGGTCAACATTAACTTGATTAAAAATTTCAACTATATTGACCTAACAAAACATGAACAGTTTCTTTGTTGGACAACTCTATCGAGAGTTCTGGGACTCAAAGCCAAAGCATTTATTTAATTAAAACTATCAAGATTTATAGACCATTTGAAATGGTCAAGGTTTTTGTTCAGTCAGTTGAAAATTGTTATTTCTTACCAACTGTAATAGCAATTCTACCAAGTATTCATCTGGGGAATTTTAAAAATAGCAATATATTATTTGCATTCTGTACTATGTGTATCTTTGAAACTCCAATGGAAGATTGTAGGCTGACTCACATTTCACTTTGTAGTTATTTTACTATATCTATACCAACCTTATCCATACAATATTTAGCTTGATTATGTATGTATGATGATGGTTCTTTCTCTTCGGGTATTGTTATGCTATCATGTAGGTTGAAACTATTTAACATTGGTTCTTCTTTTACATCGGAACTAGGAGTATGATTGATAACATGTTGTAAGCGGCCATCGGTTAATAAATTAAGCCTGTAAATAAGTTGATTCATGAATTTAAGTTTTTACTATCTCTAAGAACTTCATGCAACAACAATGGAAATAATGAAGGTTTAAACAATCAGTTTAAAAAGTACTAAGCATACCAAAAAGTTACATACTTGTCCTCAGATTTGTCTAAATCAAATATAGCTCTCTGTTGTGTGGTGGCACAGTCAGGCACACCGAATACATAGTTATAATATTTTACTTTGGCGTCGTTGCCATCTTCAGTCTTAAATTGTGGTGTCCACAAACCTGTAAATTTCACAATAACTTTTTCATCAAAATAGCAAATTAACTCACATAAAGGTATGTTACAAAAAATAAACAAAGCTGCAAATTGTATTGTGAAACATAACAAAAAGGTCAGCTTTTTGTTACCAGCAAATTTCAGTGAACAGCAGTTCACTGAAATGTGTTCAAGTAGAAATAATGATTACATAGATAGTCTTTGTCTTCAATCATTTCAATAATACATGTTTAGCATATTATTTAAAATTTCCTTACTCTGGTTGTATCTCTCGGCTAGCCTACATACTCCGTCCACAACAATTTCGTTATGTTCGCAGCATTTATTTATCTTAACTCCATTCTGTTTGTCCGAGAGTTCATTGAGATCTGTATCCCCGACTTCCGCGTGTAGTTGATGCGGTGCACACAGTAATGACAATGTTAACAGTGCTGCATACATGTTGTTATTGAATCTTTATTACTTTCATCACAAGGCACTTGTCGTCTTTATCGACACTTACAACGTTTGTCATACAATAAGGCACTTACAGTTAATTCTACGATCACAAAAACAACACATAGTAGAACCATATAATTCGATTTCACTAGACGTAGCTCTCTTTTGTTATTTAATTAATATTTAAAACTTTTTTATTCTTTGGATTTATGTCGGAGATTCTGAAGTCGGTTCGTTTTGCGTTTCCGCTCGCTGCTTCCGAAGTTTGACGTTTGAAATGTTTAGTTCAACTTTTTTTTCTTAACACTGAGTTACTGTGCGCTTGGCACAAAGGCTTTTGAGACGAGTGGGATTTAATTATTTGTGTAGCTCGTTCAAGGCAATTGTTTTGGATTACGAAAAACATATTATTGATTGCGAAATATTTTTTTTAATAGGTAAATACCTATTGATATTTGTTGTATTTTCAGCTTAATGAAAAACATTCAAAATGTTATGCATGCATTTTCTTGTCGAAATATTAAAAATGCATCGACGTATCTTAAATACATTGATGACAGCTTAAGAAAACACAATTTAATTTAAATAGATTTATTAGTATTTGATACCAACATGCATTCTTGAATAAAAAGAACAATTATAATTAATTACTTATAAGAACCTTAAATTATTGAAATATTACTCTATAGTATTTACATTAGGTAAATCCTAGAACATTTCTAAAATCTTAATTATAATCTTTGTTTATTTAACCACCTAATATTTATTTGAGTTCCCTCTTTAAAATAGGTAGCTACACTTATGGCACTGGTGATACTAAAAGTATAATAGCGTGTTCTAGAAGGAGTATCAGATCATATTAAACAAGCTTTAGCTGTGGCAAATAAAAATTAGTATAAATAATTAGATAAGAAAAATTAGAATAAAATTATACAAAATAAATTCGTAATTAATGGATACTTATCTTTTATACAAAAATAAGTACCGATTTGATTATGACACGGTGACCTAACATTCATAAACATAATGAGATGGATTTTTAAATATTTTTGTTTTCTGATAACGTATTGTTGCACCTAAACCACAACTGAGAGCTTTAACATAGTAGGTACTATTTAATTATTAAACAATAATAAAGTATGCCATTGCCTCCAAAATTATTGAATAATTATCACTTCGGTTCATACCCACAATATAATATAAGCAGTTTGTAAATATTCCATCGGAATTTTCTATTGACTAGGTTGGAAATTATTATAACCCAATTTGACGTGGAAATTACAAAATGGAACGGTGTGCTGGCAGATAAGTGCTATTTCAATTTAACCTGACCTCAACGGTATCGTCACCTAGTATCTGTTGGTCATCGGAGTCATCGTGCGGACTTAGTTTCTCCGCTAGAGGGCGACTGAACCGCGCGCAGATATTCTCACTAGCCAGTCCTCGCATTGCCCGCCTTCTAAAGATGACGAGTAGTAAGAAAATGATGACTCCTTGAAGACAGTTGAATGTGTCCATTATTTTCCTGGAAAAAATATTTTGCAATCAGGTCTTTGTCGTAATGTGGTTGCATTCCTCAGCGGTTAGGTACCTAACTTTTGTTGATAGAAGGTTTATAAAGCTATGTAAATGCTAAGGTACTGGAATCGCTATTGGGAACATTATTGTATAGTTTTAACTTACCAGATAATGTGAACTGATCCATGAGCGAAACTAGCGATCTCGAAAATCCAAGAAATGCCCATAACCAGGAACAACTTCAAAGAGAGCAAGAACCTGGAAATAATATGTAGTTTTTAATTATGAATAATTAAGAACTGCTTTTTATTACCTACACGATAGGAAGCCTAACCTCTAGGAGTGAGTAACTAATTTGGGAGACATTTTGTCATCAGCTATAATAAGGAAAAATATTCCTGTAACTCGAGATAGATTCTAAACTTCTAACTGCTTCCTTCATAATTGCAAATTAGGTCTCATATCTACAATTGCTGTGTCAATGAACGTATCGTATACAAAGAACTCACTTATGCTTCAGAACGTTGAGTGTGTTCACTTCGTACTTTCGAGTCTGCCTCCACAAATTGAATGAACTCATGGCGAATAGAACAACATTTGCAGTAATGAGGACAGCAATCGGCCCATAGAAGAATATCCAGGTTTCTGTTCGACCTGAAACAATAAAAATAGGATTAAAATCATATTTCTTTGTTATACAAATATTGACAATACTTTTTGTTATCTTTATTAATTTAGAGTATTTTGCACACACAAAGACCATGCCAGACCATCATTCCCTAAACGTATTTAACAAAACTTAAATGATTACGTAAATACTAATCTCATTTACTATTTTATATATCTAAATGACTGCTTTTGATAAAGGTTGTGACAATATACTATGAGTAACACCAACGTCTAATAAATTACTTTAAATATCTGTTTCAACGCCTCTCTCCCTGACACATTCCACGAAGAAGTGGTGGACATCATTGGCAATAGTTGTATGATAAAGAATACTATGTATACTTCTAGGTATACAGTTACGGTTAACATATATGGTAGAAAATGGGTGTTACTATTAATATGTGCATATCTGACTAATTCAATTCTACACAGAACACGCATATTGTTATTTAAAAGAAGGCTATTTACCACTAAACCAGCAGCTGCCGTTACCAAAACCTGGTTTGAAATGTTGCCCCTCAACGAAGTTAGCAATCAGGGTGACCGTCAGGAACAAAAGAGTGCAACCCCAAGCATAACAGCTGTACAAGAAATACTGTTTCTTCTCAGTCTTCTTCAAATAAGTTGAGTCTCTGGAACAGAGAGAAATGAAAGAATAAATATCTGTAAAGTATTCCCAACTTAAAGGCGTATAAAGGCGTTATTACTTACAATGCCGATCGGTAGACGTTAATGCAAATTACATTCATCCAGAAGAAAGTTGCCATCATCCAGGTATAGACGAGAAATCCTGAAAACGATATAACAAAAATTTTAAACTCTTTGAACTAATGCATGTCATTGTTCTACATATCTTAATCCTGGTAGAACTGTCGTACCTACCTAATTATAGCTTTATTTTGCAACTAGCTTCTGCCAGCGGCTTCGCCCGCGATCTCAGGGGTAAAATGCCTATGTATCACTTCAGACCATAATCTACCTCTGTTCCGAATTTCATTCCGGTCCCTTCAGTCGTTTTAATATGACTGAGTAACAAACATACACATAAACTCACATATTTTCATTTATAATATCGAGTCAAGCTAATTTCAACCATTGGCCTTTCAGTTACAGCGTAATGTCTATGAATGAGTATTGTAAACGTTAGAGTAGACAAATACAATCAGAAATCACCGAATTGCTAAGCTATCGGGAGTTTCACGTGTTATTGTGAGTCAACCATAAAAGATAGACATATGCTGTCGAGGAATATTTTTTATATAATTTTAAGGAGAATATTTCCGTCATATATGATTTCTATGCAGCTTTAACCTATAAGCCTGCACACGCGACGGAAGCTTAAAAAATGGAGTAACTTCTCCCGTTTTCCCAATATTTCCCTTGACTGCTCTGCTCCTTTTGATCGTAGCGTAATGAAAAGTATACTATAACCTGCCCAAGAGTATGAAAAATAATTGTGCCAAATTTCGTTAAAATCCATGGAGTAGTTTTTGTTTCCATAACGAACATACAGACAGACAGACAGACAGACAAAAATTTTACTGATTGCATTTTTGGCATCAGTAGCGATCCCTAACCACCCCTTGATAGTTATTTTTTAAATATATTGTATGTACAGAATTGACCTCTCTACAGATTTATTATAAGTATAGATTATGTACTATGATGCATATTATAATGAGGTAAATAAAAAACTATCTGCCTACATTATTATTAATAATGATGGTATTTGCCTTTCATATTTCAATACGAAGAATAACCACGATATAATTGTCCTTGTATTTCAAAATACCCAGTTGTATTTTTTTTAAGGGGGGAAATTCATCGAATGTCTGCTCCCGCCTGGGTGAGGCGGGAGGGAGTGTCAGACTCTTACTGACTAAAAACCCCCCCGTCCCTTCTCCTGCACGTCGAGCCGGAGCCCCGGTAACCCATTAGGTTCTCCGAGACATTAGTTAGGTATATAGAGTTTCTACCAAAAAGTACGATTAATCCAAAGAATTTAAATTAACATCGATTATTAATTCCATCCACAAGCCAATTGTGCAAGGAAATACTGTCTACAAAATTTTTGTTACCTGTCACAGTACAAATCTCGCCTCGGAATCCAGGGCTTAGTTGAAGTATTCCCAAAGACAAGAATCCTAAAGCCATACTGACGCACATGCACATGTAGCATAGTCCTTGAAGGTCCCTGCAAACATTTGCCATGTAAATAATTTTAAATGCCATTAGCTTTACACACAGCGTTCGTTCAGGTTTCACAGATATCAAAAAAATATGGGCGTATTTTAGCGATAAATGTGATATTGATAAATAGTTGCTCGACACAGTTTAATATAGATTTGGGAAACTATTGACTAATTAATATACTTGATGCTTTATTTTTTAAAACGGATTGTTCAAATACAAATAGGAATTAATTTAGTTTCGCTCATAAGTGTCGTTTCATAAAGAAACATTATAGTACTTTTATTCGAGGTTGCACAAGAAGTCCACAAGCGTCCCATCTCTTACGTGGTTATGAGGGAACATGATACCCAATTTCTCGTAAAAAATCTGTACAAACTAAGCTACAGTTACTTGTTATTTAAAATTAATAAATTCTTACCTCAATTGGGGCAGGAAGGTATACACGGCAATAGTAGCAACAAGGAAAAATACAGAAATCAGGGTTAGAACTCCACTGGTTTCTATGTCACTTGTCTTAGAAATTTCTTCAAAACACACTATTGCCACTGGGAGGGTGCCCAACGAGTGATTGCTGTTGTTCTTATACATGTTGGCGACACAATACCTGGCAAATAATATCAATA